TTATGAGAGAAAAACACTGTTCTGGATAAAAAAAGAAGGAGCAAGCCGGGTTTAAGGACACGCGAACGGGGCCATGTATAATATTATCTTTTACGGTAGGAGTTTATTTCTTCGACATCTCTTCTATTGAGGCTCATCATATTGTTGTCCTCAAGCTTTTGCAGCAACGCAGTTTTAAACTGCACGACGCCAAAGACAGCTGGAGAAAGGGTCGAAGTGTCATTCTTTATAAAAAAATTCTCTCCACTTAGGGGCTGTTCGCTGGTCTGAACCAGATCAACCAGCCGGCCGATTCCCCTCTCAAGTTACTGTTCACCGAACCAGCTAAACAGTGTTTTTCTCTCACGGCAAATCAACCGGAACAGTGTTTTTCAGCCAAGTTTTAGACCAGCGAACGGGACCTTATGAATGAATGCTCTTAAAAGATCATTAAAAAAAATCAACCAGCCCACCATGGGACAACCCCGCCAAGCTCAGCTCCTAGGAAGGCAAAAATTCACGTAAACCGCAGGTTGACTCCATTGTTGAGGGTATCCCTAGTGTGATGACTCTTTTCTTTCTTGTTGGCGTAGTGGTGTCCTGTCCTTTGTATTTTATAACTATTGTTTACTTCTTTTTAATTGATAGGTATTGCTCTCTTTTTTTTCAAAAAAAAAAGTTTAACACTACGGAAGAAATTTCACTTGTGCAGGGGTACGGAAATTATTGTGCCTCTCAGACGGAGCATGTTTTAATAAATAACGAACACATGATAATACAACATACTTTTGCCCAAATAGAACTTCTGGGAAGATCAATTTATAAACGTGACCTTTAATTTTGATCTAGAAACATTTCTCTGCAGTTTATGTGCGTTTGTTTTCCTCGCAGTTCTTTTCTTTAAGCAAAAAGAAGGGAAAAAAAACTAGAAGAAGATAATATATTCACAGGCCTGCCAGTTAGGCCCAAACTTGACCTGCTACGAGGATATCATATAGTTTAGGCCCATTCAAAAGATATCAGCGATGCTCTACACTCGGCCGGGCCTGTACCATGATGGCCCGGAGCAGAAGCACCAGACACAAATTCCTCAACGAAACCTTCAGAACACCAGACACAAATAAAATCAGTAAAAGATTCTTTTTCTGAAACAAAAACAAAAGGAACTACGGCTTGTTTCAGTGTTTGGATCTCCTAACTAAAATTATGAGAATTTGGGTTCTAAACTATGATTGTAAAATTAGGATTCAGGACAAAAAAAATACTTGATATATCTGATAGTTCTATGGTTTTTTTATGTCTACCTTTGACTACTAATTTATTCTAGAATACATGCTTAAATTAAAAGTCAAGAAATTTTGTAAGTATTTTGAACATAAATACACAATAACACATATAATTTATTTTGAACATAAATACACATTAACACATATAATTTATATATCTTCAAACTAAATAATATAATACTTACTGATGTTTGGTAGTTGTAAGGCTTGCCAAATCTTGTCTTAAACGATAAGTTTTTATGACAGGAGGGAGTAGAGTGTGAAATATGATTTACGCTTGATAGTGGAGTGATTACAAAGAGCCAGAGAGATAGATCGACACAGTATGCTTGGTAGGTCGTAGGCCACAACATGTCATATACGTTATGGATTTGTCCCAATCCATATATGCCTATGTCCAAAAGAATTGATGATCGGATTCCACATCAGTCCTTTGTTTGTGCCAAGCCACTAGCAATTGACCTAACTCTTTGATTCCTCAACCAGCTCATCTTTGTGATTGTCCCACGGTCAAAATGTTGTCGATGCACTTGACACGGAGTGAACCACATATATATTCCCACTAAAACTCGCTTATGTAGAAGAGTTAACTCAGGGCTGGTGGTATGGGCTTATAGAAACCTTATATATTGGTCTAACCTATCATCAACATCCAAGGTGGAACTAAACCCCATAATCCCACAAATACACATGTGGCCATTATGGGCCCAATTCAAATTGGGCCAGGATGTCACAACCAGTCTCATGGTTATCCTTCTAGCCTGTTCCATGTCTATGCCTAATTACTGGGAAATTTTTACGACTGTTTATTGAATTGCATATAAAAATTATGGTGCGGCATACACCCTTTGGCAAAATCCTAGGTCCACCACTACAAAGAGCCACTTTCATCCTACACTTGTTTTTTAAGATATGGGACACCTTCCACACAGAAGAAATAGTGAGTACAATTGACATCACAAACTGACAAACTTTTTACTATAAAATTTCAAAAGTCAAATAATGACGAGCACATAGTCCCCGTTCGCTGGTCTGAACTTTGGCTGAAACTGGCTGAAAAATACTGTTCCGGCTGAATTGCTGTGAGAGGAAAACACTGTTCCGGCTGAAAAAACAAGCCGAACAAGCCAAATTTAAGACAAGCGAACGGGGCGGTTTTGTATGGCCATGTTAGCTAGTGCAACCTTTGTTTCAGAGTTTCTGAGGCACATTGCTTGTGTGACACGCTGACACCACAACAATAATGATTGTCTATCAAAATAGGCTACCTCTTTGGATAATAGATTTGTTCACACTGTGCTCATTGTGCACAAATTAAACAAGAAAGCCTTTACAGTTTTACTTCTAGCACATGATTTTCATGTAGAAGCATTAGAGACATTGCCATCCCAAACTAGCAACCTTCTATCCACGGTGACACTAACATATCCCAATCTACCACCTTTCTAACCATAGTGATATATATCAACTCATGTGGAGATCATCCATAGTCAACTAACCTATGGTGGTATATGTGTAGTTTATTTGGATGCATGCAACATGTGTGGCGTCTCTTCGGCTTTTCATTCAAGGTACATTGCTTGCATGCTTAACACTGGATTGGCAACTGTAGGCATTGACGTTCACTGAAGCTATCAGTTTGGAGCGATGACTAGTGCAACAAGGTTAGTTTACAAGCAATGCCCCTCATGCTTTAGTTGAGCAATCCATGATTTCCATGGAAAAGTGATAGTACTAAAAAGGAATTGTGCTTGGTCGTCGAGTGGTAACAAAGAGACACATTCATTGTACTCTAATGTTAGGTGTGTCGGCGACATACTTGCCATGTAGAAGTGTTAGTGCTCACAATTTCATCGCAATCTAGCATCTTTCTAGACATAGTGGCACTAGCTTATGTTGTTGAGATTATCTATAGCCAACTAAACATCGGGTTAGTGCACATTTTCAAATGTATACATTAATGCCATCTCTATTTTAGATTTTATTTGAGGCGCATTACATGCATAAAATCAAGAAAACATATGACAACATTTGTCACTCCAAAGAGGCAACCTTTGACGTCCACTCCAGCTATAAAGTTGGATATATAATAGACTTGCTCGAAAGCTTGTGGGCGGAATCCCGCAACATAAGCAAAGCCATCCCTATTTTACGCCTTGACTTCTAGCACTACCATGAATTACGCAAAAAGAAGTAGTACTTGCGGTTTTCATCAAAACATACCATGTTCTAGCCATAAAGGCGCTGCCATCCTAATCTAATAGTTTCTTCTAGCCATGTATGAAGTCAATTTATATATAAGTTACTAAGATCATCTGTAATGAACTAGATAACCGTGGGCATATCCGTAAATCATGGATGCCTGCACTAGTGGCATCTCTTTTTGGCTTCTGTTGGAGGCACATTGCGCATGCGACACGTAAAACGACATATGACAACGACGCTTGCCAATCCAAATAGGCAACCTTTAGACAGCCAACTCTATTCTATGTGCGAGGCTGTATAACACATGAAATAAATGTTGATGGGATAAGGTTGGCACCTAGAATTAGACTCGCTTACGCAACATAAGTACAGACGCAAATCCTCTTTCACAACTCTAGGGAAATGTCATAAATGCGTTGTTGGTTTAACTGCCCATCCAAAACCATGGTAGCCATAAAGGTGCTGCCATCCTAATCTAACAGTTTCTTCTAGTCGTGTAATGACGACAATTTAAATAGGTAACTAAATCATCTATAGTCAATTAGCTAACTTTGGGCATATATGTAAATCATGGATGCCTGCGCTATTGGCATCTCTTTTTGGCTTTCGCTGGAGGCACATTGCGCATGGGACACATAAAACAACATATGACGACGACGCTTGCCGATCCAAATAGGCAACCTTTAAATACGCAACTCCATTCTAGGTGCGAGGCGGTATAACACATGCAATAAATGTTGCTGGGATAAGGTTGACACCTAGAATTAGTGCCTTGTTCGTTTGGGTTTGTTTGGCTTATAAGCCGTACTTTTTTAGCCAACGAACAATATTTTTTTCTCATATTAAATCAGCCAATAGTACTTTCAGCCATGGCTTATCAGCCAAACAAGCCCAAACGAATAGGGCGTAAACTGGCTCACACAACATAAGTACAGATGCAAATCCTCCTTCACGACTCTAGGAGAAATTGCATGCACGCTATTGGTTTAACGATGGTCCATCCATGTTGTAAAAAAAAAACGATGGTCCATCCAAACCCACCGTAGTCTCATGTCAATCTCTTTAAAGTGATGGTGGATGGTAGACTAATAAAGACTATAAATTACCGAATTATCCTTAGGCAGGCCGTTACGGAAACTATAGGCGGCGGTGCAGCACCAGTCGCCGGACGGATCCGCGCCGTTCTCGACGACGGCTGCACGCCAGTCAACCTTCTCCCACCGTCCGATCAATAGTGGGTGGGTGTTGGTGGAAGCAAGCGGATAACGTTCTTTCCGCAGTGGACTATTCGCGGCATCATTTTAAGGAAAGCGAGCGATTTATTTTTTAAAAAAAGGAGGAAAAAAAAAAGCAAGCGAGAGCGAGAGCGAGGAGAGGAAGCAGGGGAACTGGGAAGGAAGGAGGAGGGCGCTTGGATCGGCATCGGCTGGAGAGGGAGGGTTGCGGAACGGGAGGTTCGATCGTGCCTCTTGGTCGGATCGGCGGCGGCAGCGGCGGTGGCGGAGGAGGAGCTGCAGGGGAGGGGAGAAGATGGCGAGGACGCCGGCAGCGGCGGGGTCCGCGGTGGGGATGGAGATGCCAATAATGCACGACGGGGAACGGTACGAGCCCGTGCGGGACATCGGGTCCGGCAACTTCGGCGTCGCTCGCCTCATGCGCAACCGCGCCACCGGCGACCTCGTCGCCGTCAAGTACATCGACCGCGGCGACAAGGTACGCTTCCCCCTTCCTCCTCCTCTGCAAAGTGCAAAGCCGACAGGCCTTCGACTCCTGCTCATGTCATGTGGCGTGCTGTGCTGTCGTTGGCGTTGCAGATCGACGAGAACGTGAAGCGGGAGATCATCAACCACCGCTCGCTGCGCCACCCCAACATCATCCGCTTCAAGGAGGTGAGGCGGGCGGCCAGGCGGCCATCACTCATCCACCCTCTTTTCTTTCCAGGCCAAGCTGAGCGACTCAAACTTCTGAAACACTCTTGTTGCTTCCCTGCTTGTGATTCTTCACTTCAGGTCATCCTGACCAAGACTCACCTCGCGATCGTCATGGAGTACGCCTCAGGCGGGGAGCTCTTCAACCGCATCTGCAATGCCGGCCGGTTCGGCAAGGACGAGGTGCCTCCCTGGCTCCCTCCCTTGATCTGATTGCTCGCCTCACAACATCTGCCGTTCCAATGTTTTGCGCATACTCCTGTGTAGTGTAGTGTCGATGCTGACTCTGAACTCCTGCGTATGTCCATTGTTCAGGCTCGCTTCTTCTTCCAGCAGCTGATTTCCGGGGTTAGCTACTGCCACTCCATGGTCGGACTACTCCATTGCTCCTCTGTTCATTTTCTCCTTTTGTGTGCATGGCTAAAATTGCTCTGTTTCATGATTCGTGGTGTGGTCAAGCAAGTATGCCACCGTGATTTGAAGCTCGAGAACACTCTGCTGGATGGAAGCACCGCGCCTCGCCTCAAGATATGCGACTTCGGTTATTCAAAGGTACTAATACTTAGCTCAGTTTGTTGTGTTACACTATGCAGTGCTTACTTGTACCGTGCCTGATGATTACTGTTATGGCCTGCGTATGGATCATGCACAACACAATGTTGTTACTTACCAGGCTGCTGTAGTATAGTTTGCTAACTGTCAGAAAAGAAAGATTACTTGTGTTGAATGCTCTTCAGTATCATATATAATTGCCTCATTTCCTTCCTGCAATGTTGTCATCTGATGTCTACAGTCATCTGTTCTTCACTCCCAACCAAAGTCCACTGTGGGAACTCCAGCATACATTGCTCCTGAAGTTTTGCTGAACAAGGAATATGACGGCAAGGTATTATCCATCCCCTTGGTCCTCTAAGTTGCTCCCCGACATACGCTGCTGCTGTCTGCTGCCCGCTTCTGCATTTTGTTTTTAGTCTTTTGATGGCACGAGAAGTGTCTGCTCTTTTCTTACAAAAACTAGCGTCTGAATCTGAAATGCTCGATCGCTAATAATTTGTCATTGGATGGAGATTGCCGATGTCTGGTCATGCGGCGTGACCCTCTACGTGATGCTGGTTGGCGGGTATCCTTTTGAGGATCCTGAAGACCCTAAGAATTTCAAAAAGACAATTCAGGTCCCACCCCCTCCCCCTCCCCACCTTTTTTTCCCCACCATATATTCCAGTTCTACTAGCTGCAGTCATATCCATCCATCTAAACCCTGATACCAATTTGCAGAAAATACTGGGTGTTCAGTACGCGGTTCCTGACTACGTCCATATATCTCCAGAATGCCGAGACCTGATATCAAGGATTTTTGTTGCCAACCCAGCAGATGTGAGCTGCCAAATACTTATCCCTTTGCAGCGTCAGTCACTTGATTGTTCAGAAATTCAGATCGATGTGGCATGACATATGTTGCATGGTCTTTGCAGAGGATCACGATGCCTGAGATAAAGAGCCATCCTTGGTTCGTCAAGAATCTCCCAGCTGACCTCGTGGGCGATGGCACGGTGAGCTACGAGGAGCCGGACCAGCCTATGCAGAACATGAACGACATCATGCAGATACTGGCGGAGGCAACAGTACCAGCCGATGGCGCCCGCGGAACGACCAAGTTGTTGTGTGACGACCTTGATGACTTTGACGACGATATGGACCTAGACTCGGACCTGGACCTCGACATCGAGAGCAGTGGAGAGATAGTGTATGCCATGTAATCATGCCAATGATTGCTGGCCGTCCTCCTTGTAAATCAGTCTGTCGAGTTGCTGATGCTCTGGAACAGCTCAAGCTTAAGAAGTGAATCTATGTTCAACGTTCAAGGGCCTGTGGCATGGTGACCGTTTTGCCGCCATCACTGATTCTAACCGTTGATCCCTACTATACTGCTGTCTATTGTGTAGCATGTAGAACTTTATGTTGTACATTTTGAGAACCGCTGCTTGTTTGGTCTCTCTTTGCTCAAACTGAAAAATAGAAATGCTGCTCACCGCGTTATATCTTTAGCCCATTTATATAATTGTGTTTTGTGCCAAGAGAAAAGAATACTACACTACCGTTTTCTGTGGTTATTTTGTTAGTGCATTTGTATTTTGGAACGAGGAGTTAGAGGCTTTGCCACCGAAGAGTCAAGACTCAAGAGTGGATGCATGATGAACACTGACTGAACATGTCAAAATTGGCCAGTGGATTGATGATGACTCTCCTGCACTACACAGGGGGAAGCAACATATATAAACATCATCATATATGTACACGGTCAGTTTGGAAGCCATAGTAGCATCCAGAACGTGACATCAGTCCGCTAGCCAGTCCAGGTTGTAGCACTCTTCGGCCACCTGCACCCGGAGGTCAGGGATGACCTGCTCGGCCTCCCTCCACAGCAGCGCCGTCTCCTCGTCGCACACGACGTGGCCAAGGGACTTGAGCGAGGACGACGACCGCGGGAGGCTCCTCAGGCGGGAGCACTCCCGCATGTCGATCTTCTCCAGGCTCGTCAGGTGGCCGAGCTCCTCCGGGAGGTCGGTCAGGTTGATGCACTGCGATATGTCGAGGTACTTGAGCCTCTTCAGGCTGCACACCGACTCCGGGAGCCGCCACAGCGCCGGGCAGGCGTACACACGGAGGATGCTCAGGCAGTGCAGCTTGCCCAGCTCGTACGGCAGCTCGGTGAGGTCGTGGCAGTTCGAGATGGAGATGGTCTCCAGGGAGCTGATCTCGCAGATACTTGATGGCAGCTCCTTCAGGTCTATGCAGTGGTCGATCGTGAGGTTGGAGAGGCGTGGAAATGTCATCGACAGGTCCATCGTTGATCCTCTTAGGCTGCTGTTCAGCTCACAGAGGACGAGGGAGATCTTGTGCAGGTTCTTCAGCGGGATGGTGGTCTTTGGCAGCGGCGGGAGCCTGATCTTCTCCAGCCAGAGACTCCTCAGGCCGTTGAGCGTGGTGAAGGCGGATAGGTTGTCGAGGGCTGCACTGCTGGTGCCATAGTTGATCAGCACCAGGGCTTTTAGGTTCTGCATCGTCGCGATGAATGGTGGGAGGTAGTACAAGCTCGAGGCGAAGTTGAGGATCAGCACTTCTGCCTTGGGAAAGCTCATCTGGAACCAGTCAGATTCTTTCATTTCACCTGGAGTTTTGGAAATAGTTTGTCAGATCATTCTGTCCCAAGGAAGAAAGCACATGCATGAAATAAACTACGAGTACTGTATGAAGGAAACGTTTCAGAAAAAAGCTACAAAACCATGTTCCTCTAATACTGGTGTTAAACAGGAATTTTTGGCACTGAATATGTTGGATGACAATTTTTTGGCACTGAATATGTTGGATGACTAATTCTGTACCTGTATGAATGGAAACTATCTGAGCTTCAAACGGAGTATCCTTATTCCTCAGCCAGTCCCTCGGAAGTGTTTCTTCCCTTCTTGGCATCACCAACCGCCTCCGCTTATTCAGAGGGTCACGCCCACTCATGTGAAGAGCAAGATCTCTCAACACATCATGTTGTGTCACCGAGTAATCATGGTAGCTACTGTACAGATCTCCAGCCTTGTTCCTGCAAGCAGAGCAGCAAAGAGTTAAAAGCCATGTTATTTGGGACATCTCAATTCTAGAATATTTTGAAGCACATAGATGGCTGATGATACATACTGTGCATTATTGACTAGGGTAAGAAGGTTCTTGTTTGAAAGCTCAACCAAGATGGCAAAAGCATCTGGTTCATCAAGATCATGAATCTCCATCCAGATGTTGATCAAGACATCAAGGGGGATCTTCTTATCCTCTGGGAAGCAGCCCAGATCAAGGAAACAATCTCTAACCTTCTCTGACAAGCACTCAACACTTGCCGCCATTCTCTCTAGAAGCTTGGTCTCATGGGAGTCAGAAATAGCCTCTCCTCGAGACAACCGGTTCTTGGCACTGAGCCATATCTTAGGAGGCTGATCGCGCAGCGATGAACCAATGACCTTCAGAGCCAGAGGAAGACCTCTGCACTCTGCAGAGACCTGCCTGACCAATTTCTTGTCAGCTGTCTGCGGAACAGACTCCTGATCGAAAGCAGCACGGCAGAAGACAGACAAAGCCGCTGCCTCATCTAGCAACTGCATTTCATATGTCTGTTTTACCAACGTGGGGAACTTGAATCTTGATACAACTAGAGTCTTGCACCCAGGGAACTTGAAGATGAGCTCCTCAAGCTGTGGGAGAGACCAAACATCATCGAGGATTACAAGGACAGGTCCTCGGTCCCTTGGTCCTAACTTGAGCTGCCATTCTGGGATCTGGTTGTATGCACCAAGCACGATGTTGCCGCTGATCTGCTCCCACAGCTTCATCTTGATGGTCTCCAAATTTGCGGATTGTGAGATCGTCTCAAAGAAGATCCTATCATTGAAGTAGGCTGTAGAAACAAAGAAAGTATGTCAGAGTCATGAAGGGGAAAAAGGCTTGCAAAAAGGGATCAGATATGTATACACAAGCTTTCGATGAGATCCAAAATCATGAAGCTTAGATGAACTAAGGTTTGGGCTAGCAGTCACTTCAAATCGGCCATTAGATGTTGTTGTGGCAATTGAATTTAGGTTTAGTATGATCTTTTTTATGGAAAACAGAGATGATGGAGTTATGAACACAGGAAGCTCAAATAAGCTCTCTTATTACTGCTAAACCAACATAGCCAATCCCAAATCCTTGCACTAAAAGAAGACCCTACCTCCAGATTTTTTTTCGAAGCAGCAGGTTACTTGGATCTGAATTGGGTTTATTCTTTGTGAAATAGATTTGGTTAGTCTCATGTGCCGTTCATTAAGCAGGTATCTATCTTGATTTAAGATCAAGTAGCCACCATGGTCCATGAACACGATAAGGCTACTCAAGTCCAAGCAGAGTTTCAGAGTAGCTGAGTTGTGAGAATTCAGAAGCAATCTAACCTCATCGCAATAGTACAGTTGCCACTAGCTGGTCAAAGCGCCAAATTTGACAAAGCATGTGGTGTGGGGGAAAAAAAAAGCATCAACCTCGCCTTTACCAAATTGCACGACAGGCACGCAAACCAACCACCGAAGATATGCCATGCCCCCCAATTTGGAGAATTTTGCACCCAATAATTCATGGGAAGATGCAATTTTTGCACGAAAGGACAGGACGATTCCGAGAAAGATGCGACCTTTGCACACGATTTGGAAAAGGATTGAAGGTAAAGATGGTTAGGATCTGGTCCCTGTTCTCCTTACCTCGGACCTTGTGATCCCTGAAGATCTCCATGGCGAGCGTGGTCTTACCGCTGCCGCCCATGCCGGAGATACCGACCACCTCCCAGCCGCCGCCGCCGCTCATAACCATCTCCTTTACCTTTTCCTTGGCCACCTTGACGCCGCCTCCAACCACCCCCTCGTCCTCGTGTCCCTCGATGAGGTCCATGTCCATGGCCATCACCCCGGCCTTGGCGGGCGCCGCCTTCACCGGCATCGGCACGGACATAGCCATGCCCTTGTGCTGCGGCACCTCCATCGGCGCAGCGGCGAAGGTGGGCTTGGCGAGCGGCGCCTCCATCGGCATGGGCACGCCCTTGTGCGGCGGCGCGACGGGGACGGAGAGGGCGGGGGGCGGCGGCGGCTGCGCGGCGGCTGCGATCTCCTCGACGCGGCGCTCGAGGCGGCCGATGCGCACGTCGGCCTCGTCGCGGAGCCTGCGCACGCCGCCGATGACGTGCGCGGGGGCGTGGCGCTCGAGCCAGCGCGCGATGCCGCGGTCGGCGGCCTCCATCCGGCGCGACAGCTGCGCGGCGCGGTAGACGTTCCAGCGCGGGGACGCGGCGGCGCGGCGGGCCAGGTCGAGCGCCTCCCGGACCCGCGCCGCAAGCTCGCCGAGCTCCCCGGCCGAGCGCTGGCTGGCGTGAGGGCCCAGGCCCTGGACGAGCGGCAGCAGCGGCTCGACGCTCCGGCGCAGGCGCTCCGCGGTGGAGCGGCAGAACAGGGTGCCCTGCACCGCGTGCAGCAGCTCGCGCAGGGCCTCGCCGGCCAGCTGGTCGAGCAGCAGCCGGTCCATGGTCGCCTCCGCCTCCGCCGCAGCTAGCTAGTAGTAGCTCGGACCGAGCTCCTCGTCGCCTTCCTCTATCTCTATCGCCGCCCTCGGCTCTGCTCCTGCTCCTTCTCCTTCTCCTGCTTGCGTTGCGTGTGCTCGGTGGAGTTGTTCAGCTGGGTGAGTGAGCGGTCGCCATCGGCGTGGTGGAGGCGGCCGCGCGTGTGGTCTCGCGGGGCGGGGAGTGGAAAGGAGGAGACTAGTTATAGGGAGGCGGGAGGTCAACCGCAGCGGTGAGGGGTCGCCGGCCACTGGAGCTCAGATCTGAGGGGCTCTCGGTCACTGACACGGCGGCCGCCTACGTGGGCCCATCCCGCCGTGTCCACACCGCTAGTGGTCACCGAGGTAGACCAGATCACCAGCATTCACCACAAAGAAACCTCACTTAACCAGTAGGCCTGAGCTAGCTTGGTTTACTTGGAGTTTGGCCTGTCTAGCTTGGTTCTAGGTTAATTAGTGGAAAAAAGAATGAAACAAAGGGCAGTAGTGCTTTCATGTTTTTTTTAAAAAAAAAAAAATCTATGTGACTGAATTAACATGTCAAACGCCCTTTATTAACATCTAAGGCTGGCATTCATCTCATGTCTCTCACATGCATATTGAGTTGTCAGAGATGTGGCAAAGCCACCGGTTATAG